ACTTCAAAAGCAGTTAATAATCAAACCGGGATGGGTATCCTATTACATCCTGTCATCTTCAGAGTAGTTGCCTCTGCTCTTAGACTTGATACTATCAAGCATACCAAACTTGAATAAAATCTGTCAAGGTAAAACAGCAGTCTAACAAACCAGCTTCAAATAAGATCAGTCATAGTAAGGCAATGTTAGTAATACAAGGCTTCAGTTTAAGTTAATGGGAAACTAAGAATAGTTACCGTGGTAGAGCCTGCTATTTTGGGGATAGATGTCTGTGCACTCAAATCTAGTGCAAGTAGACAGACTGGAACAAAATAAAATCAAACTGAGACTATTGTGGCTTTTAAATCCTGATACACTGTTAACAATGGCCTTTGCCTTCCTTTTTAGGCAATTTCTCACCTTTCCCTTTCTCCGGATGCTTTGTATATTTTGGGTCCCAGTAGCTCTTTTAGTTTTTAGATTAGAGGGTCAACCCATTTTCTATCTGAGTGTTGCTGAACCCTTTTACCCCTGAGCTTGATCTTGAGCTGTATTCCTTTACTTTACTTACTAAAGCCACAGAGTTTTCCTTCCTTCTAGCTGTGTTGTTCTCCACTGCACAAAAGTATCATAGCTTTCTAACCTATCTGTGGCTTCTGGAGGAGTTGTCCCTATTTCTCTCTGGTTCCCTGTCACATAGAGCATTGTTTTCTCATCTTTGACTTTGAGTTTACTAACCCCCTTTCAAGTTGAGTACATTTCCTATTCAGAGCATCAAGATGGATCGTACCTCCTACTCTATTCTGCCTGTGTTTCTTTTTGTTAGTGTATCAGGACTATCTATATTAAAGATTATAGCTTACCTTCTCTGCCTCATCTCTGCTATTCTATTTTTCTGCTATTATTTGTCCACTTTCCTCCTTCATTCCACTGTCTGCCCCATTCATTGAGGCCTCTCTTCCACTGTTTCTGGAATACTAATTTTTTTTTCTATCTCCCTGTCTAAAATGTCCTTCAGTATTTTTTTTAGGGTTGGATTGGTGGCCATGAACTCCCACAGTTCCTCCTTGTCTTGGAAACATTTTATTTCTCCATTAATTTTGAGGGAGTTTTCAGGGTACATCAATCTGGGTTGGAGGTTATTTTCTTTCAGGGCTTGGACTACTTCACTCCACGTTCTTGATTTGATTGTGTTGATAAGTCTGTAAAGATTTTGATGATTTTTCCTTTGTAGGTGATCTGCTTCTTTTCTCTGGCCACTTTTAATATTCTGTTCTTGTGAATTTTTGGGATCTTGATTATTATATGTTTGGGTGTAGATCTGTTTTGGTTGTGTTGGTTGGAGTTCTATATCCCTCACTTATCTGGATATCATTTCTTTTTCCTATGCTTGGGAAGTTTTCCTTAATTATTTCTGTGGATAGCCTTTGTAATTCATTTGTGGTTACTCTTGCTTCTTTGCTCACATTTTTTATTCTTAAGTTGTAGATCCTCTTGTCATCTTCTAGCCTTTGAATTGTTACTTCCTGGTTCCTTGTTATTTTTAAGAGATCTTTTCTTTTATGATCACACATTGCAAATCTATCTTCAAGTTTTGAAACTCTAATTTAGTTTCTGTCAAAGCATTTTCCCAGCTTTCAATGGAGCTTTTAATTTCCTGGTAATCTTTTTGGATCTGTTTCATGTATTCTAGATTTTGTTTATATTCTTCACAAAAGGTTTTTCTTCCTTTTCTGGGTTCCTCCATTCTTCCATCTGTGTCTTCTTGAGAGGGGCTTAACATTTCTTTTATTAATCTTTTTATATCTTGTCTCACTTGGGTTAGAATTTCAGCTTTAAGTTCTTCTATGAGGTCATGAAGGTATTTCTTTATATCTGCTGATGTTGTGGCCAATATTGCATGATTGCTGTACTGGTTCTCTTCTGTATTTACCTCTCCTAGACTTCTTTTCTCAGGGTCAGTGGCTGGAGGATTTTTCTTATTTCTTTCTCTTGTCATGTTTCTGGTTTCTTTCAGACAATTGTGTGGTGGATGTCTCAGGCTCTCTCCATATTGCTTACAGTTTTTCTGAAGCATGCTGGCTGGAGAATTGCTGCCTTCTCCAGTTTACTGTTATCTGAGGTGCACACCGGGATGATGTGGTCTGGTCCTACTTCTCTGAGCCAGTCAACTGGTGAGTACCTTCAGCATATTAGTCTGCGCTTTGCTGACATCACAGGTTCAGAACAGTTTTGTCCCTCTCTATTGGGTCCCAACCAGGGGCATGACTCAGCCCAAGCCAGTCCCATCAGTCCTCTTTGGGCCAGGCGTGGCTGACTGATACCACTGCCACACCAGACTCAGGCCTATCTGCCCAACTCCAATATGTCTTCCAGCTGGCCTCACGCACCACAGGATCCAACTTCTAGTACTCACCGTGAATTAATGCAGTTATCCACTTTGACTCCACTCCTCTCTGTGCTGTGCCCTCTTGCCAAGGGCCCGGAACTCACCAACTCCTCTTATCGGTGGCTGCGGCTTCAGCATGACCATGAATTGTCCATTGCCACAGTGATCCCAGCACAGTGTGGGACTGATCTCAATGAGCAAGTCTGTCTCCAGCCTTCCACCCAAGTTTTCCTCCTCTTGCCCTTTTTCTTTTTCCTCGGTTTCCTCCTGGGTCACGAGAACCCCTCTCCCCTCATCTGGACCTCTCCATATTGTCAAATTAAAGTGTCTGAGCTGTTTTTCCCAGACAGGCTCACCACCCAACTACCTATCAAGCCGCCATCTTCTCAGTCCCAGAAATACCACATGTTTTTCATCCACTCTGTATTTGATGGACATTTTGGTTGTTTCAAAATTCAACTGTCATAAATTGTGCTGCCATGAACATCTGTGCACATGTATCATTATGACGTAACATTTTCAGTTTTCCTGGGAAAATATCCAGGAGGGGAATAGCTGAATTGAATGGAACCTCCAATCCTAGTTCTTTCAGGAATCTCCATACTGAGATCCACAGTGGTTGCACCAGTCTGCACTCCCACCAACAGTGGAAAAGTGTTCCTTTTTCCCCACAGCCTTGCTAACATTTGCTATCAGTTGTTTTCTTGATGGCAGCCATTCTTTCTGGAGTGAGAGGAAATCTCAATGCTGTTTTAATTTGCATTTCTCAATGACCAGTGATAGTGAACATTTATTCATGTATTTATTTGCCACTTGCATATCTTCATCTGAGAACTGTGTGTTCATTTCAGATGCCCGTTTTTGGAGAGGATCTTTGAATTTGGGGCATCTATTTTTCAATTCTTTATATGTTCTGGATTTAAGTCCTTTTTCTGAGGGATTGCTGGTTATAATTCTTTCCCATTCTGTGAATTTTCTTTTCACTCTGTTGGTGATTCAAGTGCAGAAACTTTTCGATAATATAATATCCCAGTTGTCAATTTGTTGAAGTGTTTCTTGAAGTTTGCACTTTGTTCATGAATTTTCTGCCTACACCTTTGTCACCAAGATTCCTACCTACTTTGTATTTCAGTAGGTTTGGTGTTTCTGTTTTAATATTTAGATCTTTGATCCATTTAGACTTTAGTTATGTGCATATGCATGGGTGATATGCATGGGTTTAGTTTCAGTCTTTCGCATGTGGAAAACCAATTTTTCCAGCACCATTTATTAAAGAGGCTATCCTTCCAGTGATCATGTTTAGCACCTTTGTCCAATATCAAGTGGCTGAGTGTCTTTGCAGTTGTGTTTGCATCTTCTAATCTGTCCCACTGATCCTCAGGTCTGTTTCTTTGCCAGTACCGTTCTGATTTTATCACTTTATCATTTTTTTGTAGTATAGTTTCAAGTCTGAAATTGAGATGCTTCTTGCCTTGCCTTTGCTATTCTAGGTTTCTTCTGTTTCTAAATGAATTTTAGGAGACTTTTGTCTAGATCTGTAAGGTAGGTCAGTGGTATTTTGATTGGGATTGCATTAAATATGTATAACACTTTTGGGGGTATGGCCATTTTCATAATGTTGGTTCTTCCTAATCAAATCAAAGAATATCCTTCCGTTTTCTAGTATCTTTTTCAATCTCCCCTTTTAGCATAGCATAACTTTTAGCACACATATATTTTACATTCTTGGTTAGGTTGCTTCCTAAGTATTTCATATTTTAGATGCTATGGTGAAAGGTGATCTTTCCATAATTTCTCTCTCAGTGAGTTTTTTTTTTTTTTTTTTTTTTGTGTGTGTGTGTGTGTACAGGAATGCTATTGATTTTTAAGCACTGAATTTGTATCCAGATATGCTTCTGAATTTGTTTATAACTTCTAGTTGTCTTTTAATGAATTTTTGGGGGTCTTCTTTATAGAGTATCATGTCATCTGCAAATTGTGATAGTTTAACTTCTTCCTTTCTTATCTTTATTCCTTTTATTTCTCTCTCTCTCTTGTCTGATTGCCCTGGCTAGTATTTCCAGAACTATATTGAACAGGAGTGGTGATAGTGGACATCCTTGTCTTGTTCCTGATTTTAGTGAGAAAGCTTTCAGTTTTTGTCCATTTACTATAATGTTGGCTGTTGGTTTGCATATATGATCTTTATGAGATTGAGGTAGACACCATGTATTCTGAACTTCTAAAGGGTTTTTATCATGAACATGTGTTGACTTTATTGAAAGCTTTTTCTGCATGTTGAGGTGATTATGTGGTTTTCATTTTTGGCTCTGTTGATGTGGTGCATTACATTTATTGATTTGGTATATTAAACCATCCCTGCATTGCTGGAATGAATTCCACTTGGTCATGATGTATAATCTTCTTGATGATTTGCTGCATTTTATTTGCCAGTATTTTATTGAGAATCTTTGCATCGATGTTCATTAGTGAGACTGGGCTATAGTTCTCCTTTTTGGTTGGGTCTTTCTGTGGTTTTGGTACCAGAGTAATACTTGGCTACAGGAATGATTTAGAGAAGATTGCTTTCTTTTCAATTTTATTGAAGAGTCTAAGGAGTGTTGGCATCAAATCTTCTCTAAATTTCTTGTAGAATTCTGCTGTGAATCCATCAGGACCTGGTCTTTTCTTTGTTGGTAAGTATTTAATTGCATTTTCAATTTGAATTGCTGGTATTGTGTTATTAAAAATTGCTATATCTTCTTGGTTGAGCTTTGGTAGCTCATAAGTTTCTAGCAATGTGTCCATTTTCTCTGTCTTTTCCACTCCATGTGAGTAGAAATTTTCAAATTAGATATTCATGATCTTTTGAATTTCCATGGGGGAAATTTGTAGTAATTTCCCCCTTTTCATTCCCTATTGCATGAATTTGTTTTTTTTTTCTTTCTTTTTCTTTGTAAAGTTAGATAGAAGTTCAATTTTGTTTATTTACTCAAAGAACCAGCCTTTTGGCTCATTAATTCTTTGTATCATGTTTTAGTTTCAATTGCATTAACTTCTGCTCTAATCTTTATAATTTCCTCTTTTCTATCAGCTTTGGGTTTAACTTGCTCTTCTGTATCTAGAAGCTTGATATGAAGCATTAGGTTGTTTATTTGTGCTCATTCCGGTTTTTTTGATATGACAATTTATTGCTATGTATTTCCCTCTTGAGACCACTTTCATTGCATCCCACGGATCGCAGTATGTTGTTTCTGCATTTTCATTGAATTTTAGGCATTGCTTTATTTCTTCTTTAATTTCATCTGTAGCCCACTGGTTGTTAAGAAGGTTATTTAGTTTCCAAGTATTTATGCAGGTTTTGCAAGTTTTTTGCCATTAATTTCCAATTTTAATGTGCTATGGTTAGATATTATGCATGGGCTAATTTCATTAACTTTGCATTTACTTAAGAATGTTTTATGGGATAATATATGTTCTATTTTGCAGAATGTTGTCCCATGTGTAGCTGAGAAGAATATGTATTCTGATGTGGTTGGGTGGAACACTCTATAAACATCTACTAACTCCAGTTGCTCACAGGTATGGTTCAATTCTATTATTTCCTTGCTGACCTTTTGTCTAGTCCATCTGTCTCTTTGTGACAATAAGGTATTAAGGTCCTCTGTTATAATTGCATTGTTGTGTATTTGGTTTTTCATGTCCATTAGTATTTGCCTTATATAGTTGGGTGCTCCTGTATTTGGTGCATTCATATTTATAATTGTTAGTTCCTCCTCTTGAATTTTTCCACTAATGAATATGTAGTGACCTTCTTTATCTCTTTTAATCATTTTAGGTTTGAAGTTCACATTGAAGTCTGCAAAAAGAATAGTTACCCTTGTTTTTTTTCTGGGTTCCTGTTGTGTGGAATACTGTTCTCCATCCTTTGACTTTTAATTTATGAGTTTCCTTTTGGGTCAGATGTGTTCTTGTATACAGCATATTGTGAGATCCTGTTTCTTGATTCATTCTGTCAACCTATTTATTTTGACAGGTGAATTGAGGCCATTTACATTTATGGATATCACTGATATGTACTGGCTCGACTTTGCCATGTGTTGTAGTTAGGGGTTGTACACAGAGAACAGTTAGGATCAAGACATGGAGTTTATAATATTATTTTTATAATGATCATCAGGAGTTAACACAGGAAAATGCAGGAAATCTATCTGCAACACCAAAGACATAGAGTTTTTAGTCAAGAGCCTAAACCCCACAGCAGTGTCCCACATGAATCCAGATAAAAACCCAGAGGTCAGGACAATGCCTCCTATGAGTCCAACTGGAAGTCCAGAGCCCACAAGAAGGACTCACATCAGTCTTTTCTATGGATCCGTGCTAGGAAGACCCAAGGGTCAGCAGTGGAAGCCAGAAAGTCTATGCCAGCAGGATGAAGAAGCTGTGCTGATGGGATGAGGGTTCTATGTTGGAACCAAGAAGTCACACTCACAACAAAGGCCAGGGCTATCTTGAAAGGCACCACAGCCATCCTCAGTGGCACAGGGGCCCTGAGCTCCTCTGACGACAAGCACAGTTGGGTACATGCCAGGAAGCAGGAGTTCATCCTGGAGACCAAGAGGCACACATGTTCCCCTCCAGAGCCAGGAAGCAATTCTCGATGTGAAGACCAGAGCTCCTCCAGGAGAACGAACAGCTCAAACAGCAACTCGTAGGAGAATCCACAACAACACATTAACGCCTCAATACCTCAACACCTCCCTTCTTCTCTACATATTTATCCTGGCAACTTTCCTTAGGTGGAGCATCTTCACTCAATGCCATGCTGATGTAATCCAGCTGGTGTTAAATTGATTACCAGTTCTTAATCCATAACACCATGTTATATTCCAGTTGTTTGCTTTCTGATTTTTCTCCTTGCTTAATTGCTTGTCCTACCTGGTGGTTTCTTCTTCTTGTTTTTCTGGGGATTGTGGTCATTTTTATCTCTATCTAATATGTCTTTCAATACTCTTTCTAGGGTTGGTTTGGTGGACATGAATTTCTTCAGTTGTTCTGCATTGTGGAAGCATCTTTTTTCTCCATTAAGTTTGAATGCAAGTTTTTCTGGGTATATCAGTCTGGGTTGAAATTTCTTTTCTTTGAGAATTTGAAATACCTCACTCCAAGCTTGTCTTGAATTGAGGGTTTGTGTTGAAATGGCTGCCGCAATTTTGATGGAATTTCCTTGAAAGCTGTGTTTTTTCTCTAACAGCTTTTAGTATTCTGTTTTCATGCTGCATATCTGGGATCTTAATTATTATATTTCTAGATGTAGATTTATGTTGTGATTGTTTGGTGTTCTATATGCCTCACCTGCATATCAGATTTTTCCTCATGTCTGTGAAATTTTCTGCTATTACTTCTGTGAATATATTAGTTGTGTCATTTGCATTTGCTCCTGCATCTTCACTGATGCCTATTAGTCTTATATTGTTTCTCTTAGCATTATCTTGAAGCTGCTGGATTGTCATTTCATGCTCCTTTGTTGTTTTTATAAGTTTTGTCCTTTCATGATCACTAATTTTGATTCTGTGCTCAAAGTCTGAAATTCTATCCTCAGCTCCATTTAAGTGCTTGTTCTAGCTTTCAATAGAATTTTTTTGTTTCTTGGTCTCTCTTTGAGTTTGTTTTATGAATTCTGCTTGTTTTCTATATTGTTCATTCAAAGTTTCAGTTTCCCATGATCCTGTACTTTTTATCTATTTGTTCTCTACCTATTCTGAGCAACTTGTTTACCAAGTTTGTTTTTTCTGATTTACATGAGAGATTAATTTTGATTTGATTTTCTCTGTAGCCTCATGGAGTTGTTTTTTATTTCACTTGCTATCTTTTCATAGATTTCTGGTGTGTTATTTTTGAAATCCTCTATTTCAATATCTCCTGTACTTGCTCCTGTGGACTAGATGTTTGAGATTGCATTTTGCTTTTTTGTTTTACTGTTTTCTTCTTTTTGGTTAGTATTTTATCCTTCAATCCCACTAGTGTCAACTGTTGGTAGTGTGTATCTTGGGGTCCTACTGTAAGGTTGGTGTTTGTCCAATTGCTGGCTCCCACAATGAAGAGGTGGATCAGTCAACCTGAATTCCCCCTGAAGGGCCCGTTGTTGAATCCTATGGTCTTCCTAGGCTTACAAGTCTAGGAGTACTGATGAAAATCAATCCCTAGTTCCTGCTTTTATTATGTCTTCAGGTTGTTCAGAGTCACCAGATCTCCCTGTTTGTAGTGTTGTCTCGTCTGGGACTCTACTGTGTCTCTGGGTGTCCCACAGGCCCCCTTGATTTTCTCCACGTTTGGGAAGGCCTATTTGGCCCCCTCATCAACCTACCTGATATTCTCTGTGTGGAGGAAAGACTCACCCACTCACTTGCCAAGCTTGCTTATGGCCTATTTCTGGAGTGGGCTTCTCTGTTGCTCCTGTTTACCCACTGAAGGTGGCAAACTCTATTTCTATTTTAGGGGCAAAATCACCTCAGTGGTGGAAACCTGCTGAGTTCTTCTTACTGAGTCTCCCCTCGATACTTCATGGTTAACCCTCTGTAGTCCAAGGTTCTGGAGGGAGGTATGGGAGCTGAAGATCAACAGCATTGCTAGATTCAGGATGTGGGCTGGTACCTGATCGCAGTGGTGGTACTATGGAGGCACACACCATGGGTTGGGCCCCACAAGGGTCTCAGTTCTGGCCTCATCCCATGCACACCTCTGGTTGGAGTTCCTGGGTCCTGTGAGGTGGTCTTCTGAAACTGCAGGAGTCACAGGAGAAACCTGGTCTAGACTTGTGATAATAGACAGTAGTAATCCTTGTGGGTTTAGTGTTAGCTATATTTTTGTGTGGCTACTAGTATCAAGCCCTCTCATGGAAAAGTTTTTTCTTCAGGTATTTCTTCTGTGAGTAGGAGATTCTTGGTTTGTGTCTTTTACAAGATCTTACCTTCCCAGTTATTTAAGAGTGTGATGTTGTTATCTGTTTGGCTCAGTTCTTGGTGCATTTGTATAGGGCAATGTTGAAGTTATTGCTTCAGAGCTACCCAGTATTTTTATGGAAGGGAAAAAATTGATTACAACAGATATGATATACTAGATAAGTAGCAAAATTAGCTGTAACAATAGCACCAAACACAATTTAGAAACTGACAAATTGTAGTAACTGTTGGTTTTGTACCTTTTTGAATTGATATCTCATAATTTAGTGCCATTTGGCCTGGACTCACTGTGTAGTCCAGGCTGGCCTTGATTCTGAAGCAATCCTCTTGTCGTAGCCTCCTGAGTTCCAGGATTACAGTAGTGTGACGCAATACGCAACTGATCTTATGCATTGTAGATTATTGTATCAGTGTCTGTAGTTGCATAAGAGAACCAATTGTGAATTAGGGGTTTGTATGCAAAGTATTTCCTCTTGGCAGAGTAACCACTCTGTAACCTGGACATTTAGGGAGAATAGTGTATAAAGCAAAGATAGTAAGGAAGTAGAAGAAGGCTGTTGAACAAAGGATGATCATGCAAGATTTGTGAAACCAGAAAAAAGGGTATAAAAGAATGGAGAATTATTTGAGGGATTATCTGAACATAGTCTCTGTGTTTGGGAGATAGCATTTTCTGTTGTTGGTGTTCTCCCCAGCCATTTAAAAAAGAGACAAAAAGAGCAAAAGAAAAAAAATGAAAGAAAGGAGAAAAATCAGATAAAAATGCCAGTTGTCTCTTCCTGGATTCATTCTGAGCTGCTGGCCAGTCCCTTGGAGGCCTCAGTCACCTATTGACTCATATTGTTGTTGTTACTTTGGACTTTTCACACCACTGATTTCACAAGCCCATCTTGTGCACCTTTGTTGGGATACTACTGAGTTGGTAGCATTCCTTCTGGTCTCTGATCATTCTGAAGGAGTTTACCTCAATAGTGACAGTAGTGAGAGGAGGGGCTGCCTTCCTTTGGCATGGCTCACCTGGGTTTCTGCACTAGTGGAGAGACAATGAAAGGGGTCTTTCTCCTACACGCAGCTCATTACTTCTTTAAAAACTGTTTTAATTATTAGAATTATTTTATGTTTCATATATAGTTTAGACTAAGCTTTCAGTGAAAATGTTTTCTGAAATTTTTACATGCATTGTATTAAACCTACAGATAAGTTTGTGAAGAACATTTTTAATGTGTTGAGTTTTTGATACAAGAATATAAATAATCTCTCCATTTATCTTTTATTAAAACATGATTTATTATTGTTTATTATGGATATTATTCTTTGCATTAGATTATTAAAATCTTTTACTAATAATAAAAAATTGTAATTTTGGTCCATTGAGCATTTTTTATCATTTTCTTGCTTTTTGGTCTTCCTTATATATTTTAGATTTTACTACCTTAATAGTTGTATACTTTGCAAATATTTTCTTTAAAATTTTGGGTTGGCTCCTCAGTCTACTGAGTACTTTGCTAGAAAGAACTATTTTCATATGATGCAATCCCATTCAATTATTTAAGCTTTTGTTGCTTATACTTTTAGAATTATATCCAAGCCACCTTTCCTCAAACCAATGTTTTTGAACATTTTATTGTTTTCTTCCACTAGTTTTACAATTTCAAGGGTTACAGTTTAGTGTTCAGTTCATTTTGTGTTGATTTCATAAAATATATACCAGCTCGAATGACATAATGCAGTATGCAGACACTGAAACAAAGAGGACTGGAGACCAGTTTTCTTCCCACAAGAAACAAGAAAATGATCTGAAGATGGCTGGAAAGATAAAGCAAGTATAGAGATTTGCATTATGCAACATTATCACAAAACTGTAAATATCAACATTATCACAAAACTGTAAATTTCAGAGGTGATTTTACTACTTTTATTCTCCCTTGTTTGTCTGATTGCTATCCCTTTCCTGTCTGGTTAGATATCATCTGGTTCTGTTTTGAATTTTATGTTTATTTTTATATTTGGGCTTTTTTTCCTTTCTCCTCTCTTTGCCTGGTGTCCTCATTTTTCTTTCTTTTCTTCTTTTTTCATTCTCTTCATTTTCCCTTCCTTTCTTCTATTCAATATTTAGGTTTTTTACATTTCTTTTTCATCTTCTATTGCTGTTTTTACTCTTTCCTCAAGTACTACTTGAATTTAAGCTTTCAAGGGGGTAAATATTGTCTCTGCCCTTTCTGATTACTCCTTCACATTCTATATCATTATTTCCCTCCTGTATCCCCCACTTTCCCAAAACTTGGGCAGTCATCCATTGATCTCCAGTCTTGATACAATATTTGACCTCATTCATCATTTTATCCTGTTCTCTATCTCTTGCAACCTTCCTGCACCCAAAGAAGAGTAAAAATCACTCCACTGAGAGGAAAAGTCACTGCATACAAGTGCATAGCATATGTTTGATTTTGTTATCTAACTTTAGAATTTTCTCATATCGTCAGAGATAGCAAGTTAATCTTTACCATAGTTTGCCAGTAGTTAAGCTGTACTTGAAACTATTGTTATTACTAATTGTACTATATTAGCCAGGAGGTTGTACATGTTATAATCAGTTTTTCTAGACTGTATGATAACACAGTGACAATACAGGGTCATAATCATCACCAGAGCCCAGTATGAAAGGATTGGGCACTGAGACAAATTGGGAAGGTAGGTTCTTGGGCTATCTATATAGAACCACCTACAACCAGGGGACATCCCTGAAGAACAGACATCTCTGAGGGAAGCCTCAATACTAGTGGTAAAGCTATTTATCATAAGAAATTGGCAAGCATCAACATAGAAAACAAAATAAAATTTAAAAATATAAAAATAGAAAATGATAAGACACAAAAAGGAAAATGCAACTCCAGACCATCTGCCCACCCAAGACAAGCCCAGGACTCAATGAGATAGATGAAATTGAAAGCCAAACACTAGATCTTTGTGAAATGATAGCAACAAAAGTTAAAAAAAAACTAGTGGAAAAGACTATAGAGAAAATAATCCCTCAGATACAAAAAGAAATGATGTTTATATCAATGATATTACAGAAAATACAGATAAAAAATAGATGAGCTTAGAAAAATGATGTAAACAAAGAATGCTCAAAATAGGAAAGAAATGGAATCTGTGAAACAGATGAAACAGAAATTTAAGAGATTAAAACCTCCACTGAATATATATTCAACAATATATATTCATTGAATCAAGGAGAGGATAGAATTTTGAATCTTCAAGAAAAAGTTGCAGATAGTGATCATGAAAAGAAAGATGTGTTAAAAACAGCAAGAAACCTTGAAAAATCCACCAGCTTCAAGATGAAGCAATAAAGAATACCCTAAGTTTGATTAGAGTCAATGAGAAAGCTAGACAGCACAAAAGCCATAAAAAAGCTTTTCACAGAAATAATTGCAGAAAACTTCTCAAGTATAGATAAACAACTAGACATATAAATAGATGAAACATAGAGAACAGCCATGGACAAAATAAAACTATACCAAAATATATAATAATCAAGATACCTGAAATTCAGCACAAGAACAGAATATTTAAAGCTGTTAGAGGAAAGAAATCACCTCTAAAATAAAGCCCATCTGAATCATGACAAACTTCTCAGCATACACCCTCAAATCAAGAAGAGCATGGAGTGAAATATTTCAAGTCCTGAAATAGAACAGCTTCCATTCCAAAGCTATCTTTCAAAATTAATGGAGAAATAAGGTATTTCCAAAGGAAAGAAAAAAGGAAGAAATTCATTACCACTGAATCAACCATACAAAAGTACTGAAAGATAATCTAGATAGATATAAAAATGATCACAATTCCAAGAACAAAAGCAGAAAGAAACCACCTGGCAGGGCAAGCAATTAGTCTCAGGAGAAATGTAGGGAAACAACAGCAGAAAAATACCATGACAAAGATAAAACCAATCCATATCAATTACTGCCACCAATGTAAATGACCTTGATTCACCAATCAAAAGAAACAGAATGGCAGAATGGATCATAAAACAAGATCCAACAATATGCTGTATATGCAAAACATATTTAATTCAAAAAGAAATTCATTGACAGAAAGTCAAAGGATTAAAACAATGTGACATAAAACAGGAAACTTGAAAAAGGCAGGGGTACCTATTCTTTTTGCAGACAATGTGAATTTCAAACCAGGAATGATCAAAAGTGATAAAGAAGATCACTACATATTAGTTAGAGGGAAATATCAAGAAAAAGTAATAATCATAAATATGTATGAGCCAAATATAAGACTATACAATATATAAGACAATTATTAATAGATATGAAAAATCAAATAAGCGATGACACAATTTCTATAGGAGATCTTAATACCAAATTGTCACAAAAAGACAGAGCAACTAGACAAAAAATCAGTAAAAATTATCAGAACTGAACCAAACTTAAGAACAAATGGACTTAGTAGATGTTTTCACAGTGTTCCACCCAGCATCATCAGAATACACATTCTTCTCAGCTACACATGGGTCATTATCTAAAACAGACCATATACTAGACTACAGAACATTCTTCAGTAAATGCAAAGGAACTGAAATTATCCAGTGAATATTATCTGACCATAGTGCAATTCAACTGGAAATTAATTGCAAAAGAAACTGCAAAACTCCATAAACATGGAAATTAAATATGACCTTCCAGAAAAAGTATTACACATGAAATTAAGGAAGTTATTAAACTATATCTACAAGAAAACAAAAATGCAAATGCAACTTACCAGAACCTGTGGGATTCAATGGAAGTTGTCCTAAGAGGTAAATTTATAATGGGAAATTCTCACATCGGTAAAACAGAATAAGCACAAATAAACATCCTAATGTTGTACCTCAAATATCTAGAAAAAGAAGAGCAAGCTGAGCCAGAATTTCATATAAAGAAAGACATTATAAGGAACAGAGCAAAAATTAATACAAAAGAGGCTAAGAAAGCAGGACAAAGAATGAATGAATTGAACAATTTCTTTTAAAGTATATATAAAATTGAAAACAGCCAACATTATCAAAAAAAAAGGAAAGAAAAGTCTCAAATTCTTGCATTGATGAATTAAAAGGGTGAAATCACTACAGATCCTGTAAAGATTCAGAGGATCATCAAGACCTACTTTGGAAATCTTAGCTCCTATAAAACAAAACAGAAAAAAATGGGCAAATTCCTAAATATGTATGAAATCACTAAAGTTGATTCAAGAAGATATAAAAATTGTGAATGACAATATCAGTTGATGAGTTTGAAAATGTAACCAAAACCTTACTGAAAAATAAAAGCCCAGGTCCTGATGGATGCACTCCTGAATTCTACAAGAATATTCCTCTCAAGTTCTTTAATGAAATTGAAAGGTAAGCAATAGCCCCTAACTTATTCCTGTACGCAAGTATTACCAAAACCAGAGAAAGCCCCAAACAATAAAAGAAAAATACGGTTCAATCTTCCTAATGAACACAGAAGTAAAAATTTTCAATAAGATACTGTCAAACAGAATGCAGAAAATCATTAAAAGATTATACTCCATGACCAAGTAGAATTCATTCCAGGAACGCAGAGATGTTTCAGCAATGTAAATCAATGTAATACAATTATCAAAACAAGTAAAAACAAAAATCACTTTATCACTTCAATAAATGCAGAAAAAAAGCTTTTGATAAAATCCATTACTCATTCATGATAAAAAAAAACTCTACTAAAAATTGGAATAGATGATCTTTACATCAAAGACAAACCAACAACCAGCACCGTATTAAATGGGCAGAGACTGAGAGCTTTCACTCTAAAATCAGAAATAAGACAAGAATGTCCACTATTACCATTCCTTTTCAATATAGTTCTGGAAATATTAACCACAGCAATTTTACAAGAGTAAGAAATAAAAAGAAAGAATAGGACAGGAAGATGTTAAATTATCATTATCCACAGGTGATGTGATACTATAATTAGAAGACTTGAAAAACTCCACCAAAAGACATCTACAGTTAATAATCAAGCTCAGTAGCATAGCTATATACCAAGTCAACACTCAAAAATTGATAGCATTCCTATACAGAAACAACAATCTCATTGAAAGAGATAATAGAGAAATCACACCCTTCACAATAGTTTCTCAAAAAATGAAATATTTAGGAATCAATCTAACAAAGGAAATAAAAGATCTTTACATTAAAAATTACAGTACTCTGTAAAAGGAGATTGAAAAGGATATTAGAAAATTGAAATATATCCCTTGCTCATGGATAAGAAGAATCAACATAGTGAAAATTGCCCTACTCCCAAAATTGTTATACAGATTCAGTGCAATCCCAACCCAAACACCATTAGCTTATCTCATAGAGCAAGAGAAAATAATCATAAAATCCATTTGAAGCCAGAATAGACCTGGAATAGCAAAAGTAATTCTGGATAACAAACCAAGGCAAGTGGTATCATAATCCTTGATTTGAAATGCTACTACAATGCTGCCATGAAAAAAGCAGCATGATAATGACAAGAAAACAGACACAAGGGTCAGAAAAATGTACTAAAGATGTAGAAAATCTTCAAATACACGCATCCACTTTATCTTTGACAAAAGGTCCAAACATATTCCCTGGAAGAATGATAGCCTCATTAATAAATGGTGCTAGAAAAACTGACTCTCTGCATCCTATCAGCATGCACTAAACTAAAGTCAAAATGGATCAAAGATCTAAATATTAAAACAGAAATACTAAATCTATTGGAAAAGAAATAGGTAAAAATTTGGAAGACATAGGTGTAGGAAGTTTTCATGAACAAAACTCAAGCTGCATGGGAAATACTTCAAAGAATCAACAACCAGGATCTCATATTTTTAAAAAACCATTGCACATCAAAAGAAATCACCAAGCTGGGAATTTAGCTCAGTGACACGCATGCCTGCCTGAGACATATGAGGTCATGAGTTCGAGACCCAGTACCAAAAAAAAAAGAAAAGAAAAGAAAAGAAATTACCAACTGTCAGAAGAGACAACTCACAGTGGAAACAATTTTAGCCAACTATCACTCAAACAATGAATTTTTACCTAAATCATATAAAGAATAAAAAAATCAAATCCTCCAAATTCAAAGACCTAATCCAAAAATAAGCATCTGAGATGAACAAAACTATCTCAACTGAAGAAATATACATAATATACAAATAAATATACAAGAATATACATAAAATGTTCAACATCATTGATCATTTGAAAGATGCAAATTAAAATGCCACTGAGGTTCCATCTCACCCTAGAAAAAATGGCTACCATCCAGAACTCAACCAACAACAAATGTCAGCAGGATTTTGAAGAAAAAGAAACCCTTCTCCACTGTTAGGAGGTTAGACTTGTGTAACCACCATGGAAACCAGCGTGGTGATTCTTCAGAAAACCACGGTTACAGGTCCCATTTGACTCAGCTATCCCCCTCCTGGATACTTCCCCAGAAGAATGAAAAACATCATACCACAATGACATATATGGAGCCATATTTGTAGCAGCACTGTTTTGTTTTTTTGGTTTTTTTTTTTTTTTTTTTTTTGGTTTTTTTGTCTTTTTCCTTTTTATCGGTACCAGGGATTGAACTCACGACTGCCTGCTTGCAAGGCAGGCGATTATGCTGCTGAGCTAAATCCCTAGCAATGTTTGTAATAGCTAGATCTTGGAAACAACACAAATTCCCATCAACCGAGGAACTGATAAAAAGGATGCGATATTTTCATACAACTGGGTACTACTCAAAGATAAAGATAAACTTGGGACTTTTATAGGTAAATGGGTGCAATTTGAAACCTACTCATAAGTGAAATAAATCAGACTCAGGTGTATAAACATCATATTGGCTTCCTAGTGTAAGAAGCTAAAACAATAATAAGATTCAAAAAGAAAAAGAAACTGGGATAGGAGAACAAGAAAAGTAAGGGAAATTGCAAAATAAATAAATAAATCTATAGATAGACACAAGATAGTCATACTGTTAATTTCATTTAATTCATTGAAAATAAATATTTGTGCCTGTATTACTTGATCAATTTTTTATTCCTTATTCTTATAATATGAGCCACTATTTTGAAGATAACATTATGCAATGTATTAACATTGTTACTCTCTTAGTATCTTGTTTCCAAATATTATAACACAATTTTCATTGTTTTTTCTTTCATATAAAAAAGGAAAAACTTCCAAGCATTCATTTTTGTTTCAAGAATGTATTTGTTTTATTTTGTTTTTTTATGCTTACCTTTGATTTTATTTTTTTTTCTCTTTGCCTCTGTTTTCTTACTACCACTTTTATTCTAGGACAGAAAGTGTTTCAGAACTATCTAAAATTACATAAGCCAATTGGGGCTTCAAGTTATTCTGAGACTTCTTCATTATTCAATATAGAATACAAGGTTCTTGAAATATTTGTGAACAAAAAAATTCATAAACAGTTTTTAAAAGGATAGACAGACATGGCGTGTTTGAGGGGTTTTGTTGTAAATTACATTGGAATAAAAGTGCTTGTGCTATTTTGCAGCTTATGCAAATTTTTGTTACCTGTAACTTAGAAAAGGGTGTTTTTATTGTGATATAATGTGGCCTGAATGACTAAATCCTCACTCAGTTTTATGAAACTGTCCTTAAATGGATTATTTGGAATAAATTTGACCAGGATAATAGTTTCTTTCCTGTCCCTTTTCTAGATTAGTGACTAGTACAAGGATGTGCTTTGTGTATCCAGTAACTATTAAACTATTTGCCTAATGTCTGCGAATTTATTGGAGTTTAAATTTACCTAAATTCGGCTAACGGTCCTTGGTCCATTCTAAACCAGTAATACTTGAAAATATTTGTCAAAATTGACTTGCTGAAAATTAATTTTTGTCTCCTTCTACCTTCATTCCTTAACTAGAAAAATGAAGAAATTTGGCTTAAAAATGGCTTGTCTTTGAGTTATCCTCAATAGAGAATACTGTTCCCTAGACTGGTTTTGTTTTTCTGAAAGAGAGGCCTTGAGTAATATAGACAAGATAACATGTATAGAGTCAAACATTTAGCACAGTGGAATGCATCTTAAAATCTGTGGCAAGGGTTTTAAGTTGACTAAGACCTACTACAATAACTTAAGACAGAACAAAATCTTCAGGTAATACAAATGGAAATTAACTACGCAAGTAATTAACTTTGAGATAGGTATTTCTTACCTTGCTGCAACCACCTTCAAAAATGCAAATTTCAGATAAAGTAATGCTTAGATCTATAGAAAAAATTCTGATCAGAATTACATTCTAGTTCTTTGACCTCTTGAAGAGTATATTGTTCTACAAATATTATAAGACAGAATAAAGAACCTAAACAGAATACAATTAAATTTTTAAATTTGTTAAGATCTTAAAGACTCTTGGAAATCAAAGCCAGTTTAATACTGATATAATGTGACACAAAGACTTGAAATGTGTTTTCATGGTAGAAATATTGTGAAGCACATTAATAGAATAGTGGCTTAGCGTTCTTTTATTTATAAGTTTAAATTCTTTCATTTATAAGTTTAGCTTCTCAGAAAATAGTATGTCCAAATAGTCTTCACAAAGGCTGCTTCTAATATTATCAGAAGTGGTCCTGTAAGGAAAGAGGACAGACAGACAGGCAGAGAAACAATAGGATAAAGGCTTCAATAAGTTTTTGGCTAATCTTGACTAAAAAGAGTTAAAGCTTCTGCGGATAAAGACAGCAAAAAAGGTGATAATACAAGCAGTTACCCTGACCACGCCCATCTCACAAAGGACAGCCACTTAAAAGCCACTCATATTCTACATTGCTCTTCATTTAATTACTATTTTTCCTTTTTATGTAAAGCCCTCCTAATGGACTGATAAATTCTTCTAACAAGACAAGGATAGGGAAATAAAACTCATGTAGAAATCTGCATATTGATGGAAGGCACAAGTGTAGAACCTTAGCATCTGAAATGGCCAATCAAATTATGACAAAACCTGGGTAGGGTGAAGACTAACACCAAATAAAAAACAGCTAAAACCACACAGGCCTTGGGTCTTCCATCAATCCAAAGCCCCTATTCTTTATCAGGTAGCTGTGTTTCTCCTCTTTATCCTACTGTTCAATAAAGCATCCAATAAAATGTCCCCCTTTCCTTAAAATTTATATCTCCAAGATTTTTTTATTGATATAAACTCTATAAATCCCAGAAAGATTTTCCCTACAGTGCAGCAGTGGTGCTCATCCTCTGCTGAGGAGCAGTAGGTGGTGCTTGTCTCTCAAAAGCAACATTGGTTGTTCCATGCCTAGAAATCCAGAAAGGAGACATTCTACTGGACACAGTATCCAACTGTGACTGGTCTTTGCCCCACTTCCTGGAATTCTGAAGGGATGACATTATAGGTAGTCCTCTTTTTACTTCACCAAAGGAGCTGAATCCATCAGATATCAGAGAGGGAACATGCACCTTAGTATCAGTACTGGGATTTGAACCAGTGCAGAAATAGTGTTCAAGACTCTTAAGTTATTTAGTTTGTTAGTGCTATTTGGTTTGTTAGCTCCCCCTAGTGAACTTTGTCTTTCATGGAAAGTTTAACTAGAAATGATGCTAAAACATAAATGTAGCAAGTCTTTTACTCAGTGTTTTTGTTTTGTTTTGTTTTGTTTCATTTTGTTTTTTGCCTTTTTGAGACAGGGTCTTGCTGTGCAGTTCAGGCTGGCCTTGAGCTCACTTTGTAGCCTAAGCTGGTCTCGAACTCGCAGCAATCCTCCTGCCTCAGACTCGAGTGCTGGGATTACAGGTGTGAGCCACCATGCCCGGCCTCAGGATTTTTAAAATTTTTTTATGGAGGCATGGTTTACTAAAGATTGAAGAGGGAGACAGAGAATCATCCTGAAAAGACTTTAGTCACAATTTGTCTTTTTCTACCATTAAGGTAGGGCTATTTACTTAGTTTTACTCCCCCTGTCCCCCTCTGCCATTCAGGAAGAAGCGATAGGTTTATTTAAAATGGAACATCTCAGCATAGGAGATTACGTAAACAAACTTGAAAATAACTTTTAGAGAAAAATCAAATGGGATCTAGAAAGCTTAACATGTCTGCTTTAGAAAAAGTTTCTCTCTCTCTCTCTCTCTCTCTCTCTCTCTCTCTCTCTCTCTCTCTCTCAATTTATTTGGCCACAGCATTCTTGGAACTGTGTACAAATCCTCTCCCAGAACTCAACTGCTCACTCCTCATAGCTAGGTGTGGTCAGTACCAGATCCTGTCCATGACCCTCCTTCTCCTCTTCCTGCTTTCTAACCCCTTTGAAACATTGACATTATAGGGGAGAATCACAGTTCGTTTCTCCTTGAGATGTTTCATTCTTGCTTTGGTCTCCCCTCTGACACTGAACCTGGGGAGAGAGCCTATTCCTGGGCATGCTGAAATCAATGGCTTCTAAACTGAGTTGCTGGGAGGGATGCAGGTAGCCCAGGATGTATTCTGCCTGCCAGATTTTGCTCTCATAGTGCATAGGCTTTGACATGTTCGGACTGGCCTTGTGCCTGCAGCACCTGCTTCTCATCTCCCTTTTTTCTTCCATCAGTTCCTGCTTCTGCCATCTCTGCATCCTTCCACTTTCCCTCAAGCTGCCCAGAGGCTGAGGCAAAGGAATTGATGGTGAATTCCCTAAATAAAAAGGTCCCTTCTTTTGCATTTTCCATCTTCCTCTTGCTGGTAGCTGTGCCCTGCTGCTGCACAAGTTGTGATTTGACCACAGTAAAAGAGTGAAGTGCAGGGAGGCACAGAAAAATGTGGATTATGTCATAAACTAAAATAAGAGTTGTTGAATGTTAAATAAATTGATATCATGGTACACATCTGAGCACTCAGTTTATTTTTTATTTTTTCAAATTCATAGATAAGGAAAAAGAAGAAGAAATATACTGCAATAAAATTTTAAAGTTTGTTAATCAGGGAGTAACAATGGTACATATATTATACATTGTCATCCCCAAATCATTCACCTAGAGCACAAGATACCAGTATAAATCTTTCTCGTCAGCAAATTCAGAGAAATCAGTAATAATGCTATCTTAATTATTTTAAATACCTATGCATACACATACATATGTTTTTCTTTCAGCTTGTCACACTAATGAAACAATATGATGTTTACACATGTATGTCTTATTTATTTCATTAATGAGTATATGCTTCAGGTACATCCATTTACCTATAAAAGTATCCAGTTTATCATTCTTTATGGTTGAGTAGTATTCCATTGCATAAAAACAACACATCTTTTTATCCATCTCTCAGTTGATGGACATTTAGGTTGTTCCCAAGATCTGGTATTACAAACTTTGCTGCTATATGTTGCTGTGGTATGATATTTTTAATTCTTTTTGGAAGATACCCCAAAGGAGAATAGGTGGCTTGAATGGGTCCTCCAATCACAGTATTTTGAGGAATCTCCACAATGGTTTCCACATTGGTTAAATAGTCTGCAATCCCACCAAGAGAAGTGAAGTGTTTCTTTTTCCCTCCAGCACCTCCAGCCCCTCCAGCCCCTCCAGCCCCTCCAGCCCCTCCAGCATTTGTTATTGGTTGATTTCGTTCTTTTTTTTTTTTTTAACTTTTTATCGGTACCGGGGATCGAACTCACAACTGCCTGCTTGCAAGGTAGGTGCTTATGCTGCTGAGCTAAATCCCCAGCCCCCTATTGGTTGATTTCTTGATGTTAGCCATTCTTTCTGAGGTGAGGAGTAATCTCAGTATTATTTTAATTTACATCTCTCAAATAACCAGTGATGTTGAACATTTTTTTAAAATCAGTACCAGGGTTCAAACTCATGACCACACACTTGCAAGGCAGGTGCTTATGCCATTGAGCTAAATCCTCAGCCCTGATGTTGAACATTTTTAAATGCTGTTTGTATTTCCTAATGTGAGAAGTGTGTATTTATCTCAGATGTCCATTTTTGGACAGGGTCTTTAAATCTAGGAAGACTGATTTTTAGAGTTCCTTATGTGTTCTCCATAGTGATGCTTTGTCTGAGGAAGAGCTGGCAAACATTTTCTCCCACGTTGTGGGTTATCTCTTCACATGTTGCTGGTTTATCTTGTTGTGCAGAAGATTTCAGTAGGGTCAGGTCCCATTTGTTGATTCTTTGCAACTGTTCCTGTGCAATATGGATTTTGTTCATAAAATCTTTGCCTATGTCAATGTCTTTCAAGACTTTTACCTATTCTATTCCCCAGAAGATTTAATGTTTCTGTTTTAGTATTAAGATCTCTAATCATTCTGATTATAGATTAGTAGATAGTGAAAGATATGGGTCCAGTTTTAATCTTCAGCATGTGTAGAGCCAGCTTTTCCAGCACCATTTATTAAAGAGGCTATCTTTCTTTCAGTGAATGAGTTTGGTACGTTTGTCAAAGATAAGGTGGGTTAGTGTGTCTGCAGTTTTTTCTTCATTTCCTACTCTACACTACCGATCCTCAGGTCTGTTTTTTGGTGAGTACCACATTGTGTGTTTTTTTTTTTTTATCACAGTAGCTTTATAGTATAATTTCAAGTCCAGAATTGTGATACCTCCCATCTTGTCTCTGTTGCCCAGCATTGCTTTTGTCTTCTGGTTCCAGATGAATTTTAGGATTGTTTTCTCTTATTCTGTGAGATATGCTATCAGAATTTTGATTGGGATTGCACTGAATCTGTATAACAGTTTTGGAAGTATGGCCATTTTCACTATATTGGTTTTTCCTAACCAACATCATGGG